ATAATGTTATAGATACAATTAATTTAGATAATATATATTATAAATATTTTATATTACATATTATCATTTAACAGTTATATAAAATTAGATGTATACTTAAAAAAAAATCATATTTTATATTTGCTTTCATTATATACTCAATGTTTCATTTATAAAACAAAGATAAGTAAGATGAGGAGTCCGTTAAATAAAAATAATGAAAATAATATATACATATAGAATTCATCTGTAGAGAAACATAAAAATATAAATCAAAAACATTATAAGAAATAGAAACACATGAAAATAATATATTTATCAATTCAATGTAAGAAAAGAACATAGTAATATATATGTAATATAACGAATTTTATTATACAAAAAACTTATAATTTATAAGAATAAAAAAAATAAAATAAAAAAGCAAATATATATTAATTATATTATGCATCATGAAAATAATAAATGTGGGCTTCATCAGATGTGATTTCAGTAACAACATAAAAAATTTGCTGAAATAATAAAAAATATCAGCTAAGTCTAACGTAACTCCAAGAAAATGAAATAAATTTAACTCTTATGAACGTATTATATATCTGATTTCAAAATTTTAATTTATTAATGTAATAAATATAAAGATATATTATAATAAAGTAGGTTTTAATATGAACATAAAAATAAAACGAGAAATTTATAGAATTAATGTGAAAGATGTAATATAATTGATAACATAAGCCTCGTTATTATTTTACGTGATATGATGAAACAAATAATTACAATCACTATTATATTAATATACAATAAATATACAATTAATATTTTTTGCAATATTTTATTGGATTAATTAAACATTGATAACAAATGAAAAAAATATATATGTATAACAATTCTTTATAAATATCAATACCTCAATTTATAATCTTTTCATTAATTCTATTAGTCTATAAATTAATCTTTAAAATAATAAATTATATGTTTCTAATTTTTCAATTTTTATATTCTATTATCTCCTGAATTAAACATTTTTTTTATACGTGAAAGATTATATATATTTTTCGAAACGTATTATTAAAAATATTTCTTATAATTACCTATTGCCTTAGAAAAATAGATTGACATGAATAATATATGCTTATATGATTTAAATAGTTAAATTACTAAGTTTCTCTTAAGGATATATAGTTGTAATAAAATATTATGTCCATTTTACAATATATTTATCATGGACTTTTTATACATCTCCCCAAATGGAAAATATGTTGACAAAATTTCATCATTATTAATTTAATATGAAAATTGCAATCTGCTGTTATAAAATAAGTACATATTTTTTTAATTTCCATATAATAATATACTTCTCAAAGTAATGTGTCTAAAATTATATTTTCTCTTTAATTATCAAGTTTATTCATTGATAAATAATGATATATTTTAAAATATATTATTATCTTATACTACGAATTAAAATAAAATTTTAAAAAAAAATAAAAAATAAATAAATATTTTTACACATTTAATATTTAAAAAAATATACATTTACCTAATGCATTATGAACTATGAAGAAATAGTTAACAATTAAATATATTATTCATGTAATTATTTTATAAAGTCCCTATTCCTACAACAGAATATGCGAAAAAAGACATAAATTTGTAGAAACAGTAAGTTTGAAAAAATTATAACAAATATATTTTACATTACATATATTAATTATTTGCCTAAAATATGTGTTTATTATTAATATATTTCCCACAAATTTTGTATATAATAAAAATAATATTATATTTTGCTATTATGAGCAATCATTAAAAACTTGGTTGCTATTTCATTTTAATATGTGTATATATTTTCAAAAAGTATGCGAAATAATTATAATTCATATATATTTTCATTATTTTGAAAAAATTATATTACATCTTACATTAACAATATATACCTCTGCAGTATAATTTCCCTCTATTTTATTAAACAACCATGTAATATGTTCTAATTTTCTCACTCGCTTATATTGTTTCATTTAATAATAATATAAGCAATTGGAACATATAAATATTCCTATATATGTTATTTTTAACACTTGGTTTAATTCTTCATTTTTCATATACTCATTATGTTATAAGAAATATATATAGTTATTTATGTAAACAATATAGAAATGGGCACATACAATATAAATAACACAATTAAAAATAAATTTTTAGCAAATGTAGAATTTTTTCAATTACAAAGTTGATTCTTATTTTAAAAATGGAAATCACCAATATGATATATATTTATTTAACTTAAATGTATTATTAAAAAAGAAAAATTTTCTTTACATAATATTATAAGAGAAAAGAAGTAAATTCTAAATTTTTATCAGTCCTGTATAAAATGATAATAAAAAAAAACTTTCATAATGTCCAATGTAAAACTGCACATAGAATAAAATGAACTATAATATATATTTTCATGCATAAAAAGATAATGTAGCATTGTTATACATAAATATAACAAAAATATATTGTCATAATAAAAATTAAAAGGTATCTATGCTTTATAACAATAATAAATTCTTAAAAAATGGAGTACCTTAATATTATTATATAATATTACAGATTGTAAAAATTCATGTAACAAAACACCCCGTATAATATTTAATTATTAAAATCCATTTAATTTATACATTTGAAAAATATTATTATTATATGTTATTAATGATTCAGGGGAAAAATAATTTTCTGTATATATATGTGAAGCTTAAATATCGTTTTTTAACGACTGTCTAATAATTTAATCATATTTAAATGAAATCGTATGTCAATAACACTAATTCATCAAAATATATGAAATGAATAATTATTTATTTTAAATGAGAAAAATATCATGTAATAGTTCTTATTGAATATTCGTCCCTTTATATATATATTTATTCAATGTAAATACATATATTATATAATTAATTAAGCATATGCAAAAAAAGAAATTTCTTTTACATCATAAAATATATAAGGATGATTCATAAATAAATGTTTTATTTTAACAATATTAAATATTACACAAAAAATATTTTTAGTTCTAAATATGTATTATATATATATATATGGAATATTGCTTTTGTAGATACAATGAATTTAAATTTAGATACTAGAACATATATTCGATTGTTATTTACTCATACATGTTATTTGAATAATTTGACAGTATACTTTCGTTCAAATTAAGTTATATTAATTTTCATTAATTCACAACATACATTTGTTTTTTTATAGGAGCATAAATAATATTGGTATGCTTTTTTAAAATTATATTTAGGAATAAGCATAATTATTTGTGCCACATAAATTGTGTTACTCATAAAACAAGTTAATGAGTAATGTAGATAATTGTAACTATATATATATGATATAATATGAATGATATATATAGATTATGTAAAATAGAATAAAACATTATATGATTACATGCAAAAGGGATAATTTATTTTTTTGTTGTAGTCAATAATCATGGGTTCATACAATTGTACATGGTTCATGATAATATATATGTTAAAAATATAGTAGGAACATACCTAAATATGCTTTAATTATATTATCTATATATTTATAATAATTTATATTTTTTATTAATTACATTTTCTTAAAGTTAAAATAGTATACTGCAAATATTTTTTAATTATTAAAAAAAAAAAAAAAATAGGCTTATTTATATTTAATAGAATATTATAGGTATTATTAATTAACTATAATATTAGCATGTATAACAATTGTGCAAAAATATCATTTTTTTATTTATAATAAAGACAGCAAATGTAAAATGATTATACCCATAAGCATATCACAAAAAATATATTACAATTAGATATTTATTATTAGTTCTATGAATGATATATGAATATTAGAAAATTTATAGTCTTCATTATATGTATTAATTTTATAAGAAGAGCACAGATAAGTTTGAAAAATGTTTATACAGATAAACGTGAATAATTTTGCACTATAGGATAAAATATAGTTATATATTATAAACTCTATTCGAATATTTAATGTATTCATCACATAATATGTACATTTCTACTATATAATATATCTCATTGTGTTAATTTTAAAATTTCAAAATTTATAGGTTATTACTAACTGCAAAGCAAGAAATAATTATTTTTTTCCTTTATTTAATACGCATAATACATGTGATACATAACATCCATTTTAGATAAATTATATATAATTATTACATCTAAATAAGCCATATAAATATAAGGTGATTATAAAAATGAATTATATAGCCATATATTTCTAGTGTATATAATGTTGAGAAACCAAATATATGATTATATATTTTCAGAAAATTCTTATACGATAAAAATTATATTTATTTTACAGCGCTTGTTATATCTTAATATAATTTTTTCATAGTATTATTAATGTAAAGTATATTGTCACATAATAATAAAATATTAATATATCCATAAGTGAATAATTCATAACTATTATGAAGAATTGGCTAAATAAATACATATTTTTCTCTTAATAATTGAGAAGTATATAGAGTTTAATGATAATAAAAATAAAAGCAAATGATGAACCTGCACTTTTTATAATTATATACATTTACATCCAGTTCATAGAGAGCTTAAACACATATATGTAATACTAGTACAAAATATTTTTTATTAAAATGAAGTATATTCTATATATCTTTTTAAAAATACACACTTATTTATTATATTTTATTTATGTATATGACAATATTAAGAATTTATCAATTATTATTTATATATATACACATAAGTATAAATCCGTTTATTTTTATTCTATATTTTAACGTAATAATGTAATATATATATTTTTAATAACCTATAATAATATTATTTTATATATAAGTATATATAAAAAAATGTTTTTTTTAAAAAAATATACGTCTTCTTATAAATATAAATGTGAATAAATACAATATGTATTATATATTTATTATTATATTTTATATACGTAAAATTATTTATGAAATAAAAAGTGTTTATATTCATTAATACCTAGCAATAATGCCTGAAAATATAATTGCTAGTGATGATGTACACTACTATTTATTACTAAAATTATAATATGTTTTGCTGTATATTAAAATGCACTTGTTTTAGAAAAAAATATATATGTCTTATACATAAAAATATTAATTTAATTAATCACATACAATATAATTTTTTTTTCTAGTTCAATTATATGGAAATATTTCCAACATGTATCAATGAGTTTAATAGAGCCAAAAGTAATAATACCTATTCCTGGTTAAATGATGCTTATAACCAGTGCACACAAATTAAATGGAAATTAAATATAGAAGGAGATTCTTTTAATAGGTATTGTACAGATCTGATATATTATTTAAATTATATAAATGACAATCTAGGAATTAATAAAAATGCGAACTGTAAATATTTCAATTATTTGCTAAAGTATATTACAGATAAATTTAAAGTCATATGTGATGGAGAAGAAAATTGTTACGAAGAAATGATAAAATCAAACATCAGTAATATTCCTGGAATGCCTAATACATGTGTTCAATATGTTAAAAATATTAATAATGATACATTTGAAATATTAAAGAAACTTGATAAACTATATGAAAGTCTTAAATTACTAGGAACTGAAAAATATACATGTCCGTATGACAGTGAATGCTATGACATATATAAGGAACTTTCAAAAAAATGTACAAACGAAAGTAATAAAAATTTTTGTGAATTATTAGAAAAATTCAAAAATATACATGTTAATGATGTAGATGATGTAGATGATGAAGGTGATGTTGGTGATGTAGATGATGAAGATGATGTAGATGATTTAGATATTGTAGATGTTGTAAAACGAACTCATTCTTCCTCTTACAAACATATTCGCGCTATTTTTTTAACTCTAACTTTTACAATATTTGTAATGTCTACAATTATATTCATATTGTATAAGGTTAAATATAAATTTCATTTATATAATATAGAAATCATTAAAATTTATATAACTCATTATTATGGAATTTATATTTAATAAATATCATACATATACAAATATATGATCGTTTCCTTGTTAATAGTACACGCCTTATGGATCAGTACTGCATGAAGTGCTGAGAAAATTAAAGAAACTGTTTATGAAAAATAATAAAGAACGTCTTTCATTACTGGATTCATGCGAAAGATCATATAATAATTCTATTGAACATGGATATAGAATAGAATATGGTTCAGAAGACTACGTCTAATAGACATAAAGTAACAACTAATATATTAAACATAGATTCTTCTATGTAGTGTAACAACTTTTAGAGAATATATTTTTGTAAAAATAAAAAAAAATTATACTAATGATTATATTATAAAATGATGATTATTTTAAAAAATACATTTTTATCATTTAAGCTATTAATCTAAAAGTTGTATTTGAAATAATGATAAGTAATGTACAAGGATTATATTTATTTTGAAATGGTGTAGGTATGTAATAACCTATAAGCATGGAACTAAAAACATTAGGTATTATAATTAAATGTCTTAAAATGGATATATTAAATAGTGATAATCTAATAGAATTTGATAAACAACAATTTCTTAAGAATTAAAAATGTTTATTATATGTTATTAGGAAAACAATAATAATAAAATATTAAATATAAAACATAGATAAATACAATATATATATAGACAAACGGAAATAATATTTACTAGCTGCAGGTGTGAAACACATAATTAAAAAATCCTCCTTAAATAGCATGATTGCATTTGAAAACATTCATATACCTATAAAATGTAATATAAATATAATATCAAATATATCATTCTTATTAAATTATTATGTGTTATATATATATATATATATGTTTAAATAATAGATGTTAACTATGGTCAGTATTTTCTTATAAGAATTAACATAATTCTTTTTTTTTACAAAAAATTTATGTTAACTTTAATCCAAAAAAATGTATATAAATATAATTTAATACAAAAATACAGACAAGTTTTGTATTTCAAATACTATTATATGTTTTGAATAATAATTACAATATCACAGAATTATTGTATTAATTGATAATAAAATACTATTTCATGTGTTCTTTTTTAATTTTGAAATCCCACACAGAATTTAAAGCATATTTTTTAAAGTATAGCTTTTACAACATAGCAATTGTTTATTCAACATGCATTAGCTTTAATATTTTATATATATGCCTTATTATTATTATTTCAATAATATCATTTGTATAATTATCTCTCTTAAATGTAGAGTATGTACATTGAGCAATATATAAGAGCAGACAACAGTTTCATATTTATATATTACCTTTATTATAAATTATTTAGAAAGGGACTAGATATTTGAAAAATACATTTCCACAATAGATAATATATTTGAGATATTTATAAATTTTTAAAAGATAAATTATATATAAGCATAGATGTGTTTCTTTATGGAATGAAAAAATGTGTTGTATTACATTATTGTATTCTTTTTGGTTATATATGTGTGTATATACATATTTTTATTACATATACTGATATTCCCATAATCTATAGTCTACTATATAAGTTATCTGATATCATTAATAAATTTTACTTATAAATTTGTAAAATATTTTTTATGACTATTACATGTACCTCAATATTTTTTTCTTATTTCCTTGCATTAGCTTTTGTGATATATACATATATATATTTTAATAAACACATACTTATTGTATATAGTTATATTGTAAGATATTTTTATAATGAATTGCTATTCTATATATTTTCAAAATATATTATAAATATTGTATTCAATATTAATTTATAACCCATGTTATTATAAACAAATCCTCGAATAAAAAAAATTATCTTTATTTGAAATGAAAAATTTAACGATAATAATATAATTCTAATTCCATATCTTAACATAAAAAAAAATTCCAAGAAAAAATTATAATATACTTATAATATTAATGTATATTGAAAATGTTAATTCTAACATTATTAAGATATTATATGTTATAAGATAGAATATATAAAGTCTATTATGCTTAAAAATTATTATTTAAATGATATATTTTATATAGTAGTAAATATTTATTACAACATGCCATATATGTGTATCCTTAATTCTCTATAGCATACCTGATATTGATTCAAATCTTGTTCTTATATTAATAGTTAAGATTTATTTCATTGAATTAAAATACATTTACTAAAAATGTACATTTATTTAAATAAGATACTTATATGCAAATACATTATTATATAATATAAACAATATGTTTAATGATAAATAAAAGAAGATAGATTTAAACAATTTTTTGGTATATAATTCATAGATTTGTTATTATTCTTATTAAATATAAAAAATATTTATATCTTCTATTTTTTAATAAAAAATAAAGGTTTCACATCATTAAATTAACTTATCTAGAAATTTTTTAGTAACAAAATATTTTATAGATAATGAAAATAATATAATGGAACTGAAATAATATATACATTATTTTAAAAAAATTTTAATATATTAAACTAGTGTAATTATTTTTATGCTTGATATATACTTGAACTTGTTTTAATTTAGCGGTATTTATAGTTTTTTTATATTGTTAAAATTTTGTTAACACATTATATTTAAGGTAATATTATCTATAGCATTTTCATAATACATGGATAAATAATAGTATTTTGTGATAAACGCAAATAAGTAATATAAAATTCAAATAATTTTTTGCATAATTTTTTTATTTACTTCTATAGATTTATTTTATTATTTATTTTCTTCTTATTTAATACACATGCATTTTTAATATATATCAATAATATAAGACTATTTGTAAAATACTGCATGAATATATTTATTAGCATAATAATCATATATATTATAACGTGCTGAATAATATTATAGATAACATTAGAAATCATAATATATATGATTCATATTTTTTAGTTGAACACATTCAATAACATTAATTTAATACTTTCTTCACAGTTTTTTTTCATATATGAGAATTTAAATTATAAAAGCCAAAATTTCAATAATATCAGTATTATTATTATATTTAACAAATATAATAATAATTAACCTAAAAATATGTATATATATGATGCTGGTTTACATCATTTTTATACTACCACATTCTATTTATATAATTCAACGTAAATATATCATAAGTTAAAACTATTTTTCCTGGTGATACATTATTCATTAAAAAATGGAAAATGAAAATCAAGATATAAAATAAGCAGATATATTCGCTCGAATATTGTTCCAATCCCCAAATATATAGCATACGAAAATATCTATTATTTTTTAAAATTACATTTGTACATTTACCTTTGTAAAATTTTTAGGAAAATTTTATTCGAAACTCTCGTCATAGATAAAATTATAAAACATTTGTATTATATTATAATGATATTTATTACCATATAATATTTTCATATATAAATAATATAGTAAATACTTTTACTATATAAATAAAAGTACATTATGATTTCCATTTTACAAATTATAATAAAACTATGTAAATATTATGATAATATAAGTAAAAAATATAAATAGATAAATATTAAAAAAAGTATATATATGTTAATGATCACATTATTATAATATTATAAAAAAAACCTATACTATAGATTATAGCTTAATACAATATATTAAATGTAATTAATATGCATGAGATGTAATTATTATTAATAAATTCACAATTTTTCTAATGGAAATATAAAAACATAATAAATGAATTAAAAATATTATATGCTATATCAGTTAATAAACATATAAAAAAATATAGTTTTAACACATTTTTAAATTATATATATATACATAT